ATAATTCCTCGTTTCTTCTATTTATTCCCGCAGCTTTTTAATTTATACCATTTTAAAGGCCGAATAGACCAGAGAATCTGCTCTTGTACACATAATTGAGAAGATATTGAAGGAATCAGGCAACGATACAGTTGCCCGTACATGTTGCCTCTATCCTCCAGCGAACCTTCCTCGGGGAAGACATTTTTTCCAAGCGAACGAAGGGAAAGTAATTCCTATTATTATCGTAATCACGCCACTCATCGTATTCGTGACTGAATCCCAGGAAATGAATTTTTGGCTGTTTTCGCGTCGTATCCACTTCAACAACCTCAACAACATACAAATCCCTGTCTGTTTTGCGTTTTCGTTCCACTTTCTCCATTTTTTTTTTTACGGAGCTGACAGAATTCTTCCACAAAACGCAGTGGAAGACATGACATTCGCTTCGGTCGATCGCCAATGTTTCTTTGTGATGGTGAAACGTAATACCTTTGCGCACGGTCTGTAGCATACACTCCATGAAATGATCACTAAAGAGCAAATGTCCTCATTTGTGAGCAATGAGTTTGATATGCTTAAAAATTTATCGTTTTTTTAGCCTGTTACAGTAACCCCCGGGGAACATGAGTTAATTTTAAAAGAATACTACTTTGAGCAATTTATACCATTTTGTCATAGTCCATTTTAAGATATCTTTCCATATCTCCAACACTAAGGTAAGTTCGTAACACTAAAATTTCACATACCAAGTTATACTGTAGTATTAACCTCTAGTTATCAGGAGGAAAAAATTCACGTGAATACGTACGCTGGACAAATACCTTTATATCAAGCAACTGAAGACATTGTAGTTATATAGACAAAGAAAATTGCTTTTAATTAAACATTGTATTAGTATTTAAACGTGTTTCCAATTGCAAAAACAAGACCAAATCAATTACTATATGGCAAATAAGGGCTTTTTACAAACTCGGAAAGTGTAAACTTGACGTTTATTATTAAATTCTTCTTTTTTTCTTCAGGGTTCTTGAGTAGTAAGGATTGGAAAGCTCATTGTTCCCCACTTAGTCAACCTCAGCCATACATAAATATTTTGTGCAAATATAATCTCGGATCAGCTAATTTTAATAAAATAAAAATTGAAATTTATCATTTCTGTCGATCAACAAACAGACCCGTTGCTCCTCAATGGAGTCAGCCTCTCAGTTCTTTTGGCATGCAATAATGAGAGTGTAGAATGCATTAAAACATAGATATATATATATATACGGGAATTGGCTAACCGCCCTGAAAGCGAAAGCATGTGGCTTAAAGATGAAATTTGAGAGACTTTATGTAGTTGAATGTAAAAGAAATTGCTTGATTTAGATCAGGAATGTCCCCATTGGACTTTGGCTACGTGACTGAACGGTTCTTGAATTACTGGTTTAAATTAAAAGTGAATGTAATATTGACAGTTTTGTTTATCTCTTTTTTCCAATATTCGAATTGTTGAAAGTGTTAGTAAATACTACTTTTATCCCAGCAAACAAAATAACTCGGCATAATTTCCTTGTTAAGCATTCGCGTAGGTTGGCTTGTTTACGAACCAGGCGAATGCCAGCTACGCGGACGGCTTCAGAAATGCTAAGAACCAAGCAGGAAACAAACCTCTACTGGCAGTCTATATATATTGACTTCCAAAATTTTTATATTCTAAATTTGTAAAAACCACCAAAACCACCAACAGCGTTCGGGGCTAGATGTGTATCACGTAGCCCCATGAAATATCTGAAACATGTTTTAAAACTTCATCTACAATATTTGCCAAAATACAGTTATACTCGTTATATTCACCCTTTGTTGGCGAGAACGCGATCTCCCAAATATAATTAAGCTCAAAGCAAAAGAAAGGCGAATCCCCGAGAAACATCGTAGGCATCTTTCGTTGGTATAACATGTCACAAGGTGAAGGTTTTGGTGGGTAGAATATAATGCCGACCCCCGTGATAAGGGTTAACCGAGATGGGGCAACATGGCAGATCAGTTCATAATTCGCAGAGCCACCGAATCAGACGCCGAAAACATCTACAACATCCACGTTGCGGCGATTAGATCAAAGTGCTCTACTCACTTCAGTGCAAAGGATGTCGAAATTTGGGTCGCAAGACAAGACAAAGCACGATATCTGCCTTTTATACAAGCAAATGAGATCCTAGTCGCCGAAGGTGGGGAAGGGAAAATTCTTGGGTTTGGTCACCTGACGCGTGATGCAAAAGAGACTGATGGAAAAACCATGCAGATTAGAGGCCTGTTTGTTGACCCTGACTGCGGGGTAAAAGGCGTAGGCTCTACGCATTTGAAAGAGTTGGAGAAGAAAGCAAAAGAACTTGGTGAAGTTGACACGATGGTTGTTTATTCATCGCTCAATGCTGTTGAATTTTACAAGAAATATGGATCCATTTCGCAAGGGATTACTACACATCAAATGTGCGAACCTTCGTCTCTCCAGTGTCACAAAATGATTAAGGAATTTTGAAAATTGATGAGTAGTTGAATCCAACCTCTGTCACACATGGGGATGGGGTATGTAGAGGTTGGCAAAATAACGCAAGTCACGCAAGTCTTATTAATTTTCGTCTTTTTTGAATATTACTAGTAACACGCGCTACGTATATGGTGAAAGTAATGTATACGATATCTATCATATAGACAATAATTATATACCTGTAGCGGGAAATACAATACAATTGTTTTAGGCCAGCAGGTTGCATTGCACAGATACAATAAAATTGGACCGCAGGAAACCCAAGCGGGAGTTACGTGTGGTTCAACATTGCATCTTAAAATGGCCGCAAAAATAACAAATTTAGAGATGTAATGAGATAGCTGTTTGCAAAAGCTCTCAATAAAAAGGTCATACTTTAATTTACATGTCGATACATGGTTTTTTCTTGCTCCCAGTGTCTGGCTATTTTCCTGATCCAATGTTTCAGTGATATCATAAGGGCGTATTCGCAATCACGATTTTTAGCACCACACAATATAACAACATTGTTGTGACATTGCTTCGAAAGGTAGCAACATTGTTCCAACCTTGTGTCGTCGTTGCGAATCGTCCCATGTACCTTCATAAAGAAGTCGAAAGAATGTCGGAATAAATGCTGCTTTTATTCATCTTTCAGAGGTTACAACCTGTCAGTTTACAGCAGAACAAAATAATATTGCTAAAGAAGATAATTTGACTTCAGGCGAATACAACCTCGGATAACTCGGGGTGACTGCCTTTTGTAATAATTAGGACTGCGGTGCCGGAACCTCTTCTACGTAAATCCGGGATACTGAATTCCAACCTGTGTGCGCATCAGCTCCACTGACTCCAGGGCAATTGCCGACGTGAAAACCGATCCTTACGTTTCCAGCGCTGTGCTCGTTGCAGACTCCCTCAATATGACGAACACGGTGCATGTCTTTAACTGCATTTGGGTGTGCACCTGTGGCCATGTAGACAATACCCTCGATCGGCAGAGGAGCTGAACACTCGGTATCATTGAACGTGAAAAACCAACGCATGCAGCAGCCGTTGCAGTTATAGATCCGAAGTGCGCCACTCCAGAAGACACGAAGGCTGGTGGCTGATGACGACTTTTTGAAGTTACATTGCTGTGGTATTTTTTGAAGAAAGAATAACGTGAAAAACCGCCATTAGTAATAGATTTTAGCTCTGAATTTATCCTACCTTCCCCCTCCTTACCCCAACCTCTGATCCCACGAACCTTTCTTGGCATATGAAAATGAAGAACTATAATAAGTATGTCGAAAAGTCATCGCATCTACCTTGAATGCTATAGTACTATACACCAAGCATATTTCCTGGAAAAACTCATATCGTACCACTGTGTCTTAAAAAGCAAGGTTAAAGGGGCGATTTTAGTCCGCGTTTATCGAAGCCTGTTACTCCTGTTAATAATCATTGCTTCGGTGGTTAAAAGCGTCAGAAAATAATTTCAATGGAAGGGAAAAGTTAAGAGGTGAGTTACCGTTTAACTCACAACCCAAAAAAACCTTCCTTATCGATCTCGCCATTCCTGGCATGTACGATTTCGTTAAACTTTATTGTAACTGAAAATTGTATCCAAAGAAAAGAAGAGACTCTCTTAAAAACCTGCACTTACGTCCAACTAATACGACAAAGATGAAGAAAAAGATTAACCTCCTCGATCATTCAAAACAGAACTGCTGGAATTTAGGGCTCAAGCAAATACGCATTAAATACGCACAGAGGGAGAGCTCATGCAAAAAACTTATTAGTGACCTTTAGATTCAAGGACGAGGACGACTACGAGATAACTGATAGCGGAGTGCTTTTATCTGATAACAATTCGCCTAAAAGTGATAGTGTAGTAAATAGTGCACAGGGGTCAGCGAGATCGTCCGTTCCGAGTGTTTTAAACGATTTTCACAGCGAAGCGGGAGCAGAGATAGAATGTAACACCGCTTTATATGCGTATTCTAGTACAAAGCCTATTTCAGCTTGCGTTGATAATGGAGTAGAAAAACCAGATAGTAATATTTCTCTTCCTTTTGTGGCTGGAAGCTCTACTCTGCCTGTTAGTATAGAGGGTCATAATTTTTATTGTTTAATAGATTCAGGAGCTGCTGTCACAGCAGTAAGTGCTAAAGTGTGGCGGAAGTATTTGTGTCACGGTTACCCTAGGCTAGATGGACCTGATTCGGAGAGTGTGACTACCGTCAATGGTTCCTGTTTAACTATTCTGGGAAAGTCACCAATGAAATTTGTTATTGATTCTCATGAATTTCCTTTTGAAGCCCACGTGATTGAAAATTTGTCTTATGATGTTATCCTTGGTAGAGATTTACTTAAAGAATTTTGTTTTATGGTTGATTTTGAAAATGGATCGGTGAATTTTCCTTCTGAACCAGATCCGCTTCCTTTTAAGGGTGAACACTTAAATGATGATAGTGATTTGACGGATAAAGCTTTTATTTCTTCGGTCCACGCGTCTCGTACTTTTGTTATTCCACCTCAGTCAGAAATTTTGGTTTCAGGGGAACTCAATTCTTTACCAAGCGCCGTTGGTATTAATGGTATGATTATTCCAAAGTCCCATTAATGCCATCGCTATTCTGTTTTCCGAGCTTCTGAGCTTGTCAGTGTTGCAGATGACGGTATGATCCCCATAAGGTTGGTTAATCCTTCCTTCCAGCCAGTTAAAATTTACCGCAGAACTCGTTTAGCTGATTTTGAGGAGGTAGATCAAAATGTAGCAACCTTTGAGCTAAATGCGACTGAGAAAATTGAAGAGCCGTCCAATTATGAGCAGCTGGAAAAGCACGATTATTCTCAATTGCCTGATTTGTCCGATAGTATTTTGTCAATTGGTGACAAAGTTAAGTTTCGTGATTTGTTTGTGAAATACCGTGACGTGTTTGCCCTGTCTGATTCTGAGTTAGGTAGAACGTCGTTAGTTCAACATGTGATCGATACGGGCGATGCCACCCCGATTAAACAAATGCCTTATCGCACTTCGCCTGAAGGTAAGTAAGAGATTGATAGACAAGTGAACAATATGCTCGAACGTGGAATTATTCAAGAGTCAGTTAGTGCTTGGTCTTCGCCTGTTGTTTTAGTTAAGAAAAAAAGATGGTTCTATGAGATTTTGTGTTGATTATCGTAAGTTGAACGAGGTAACGAAGAAAGATAGTTTTCCCTTGCCTCTGATTGCCGATACTTTAGATTCTTTAAGCGGAACAAGCGTTTATAGCACCCTTGACATGAAGGCAGGTTATTGGCAAATAGAACTTGATCCTTCTGCTCGAGAAAAATCTGCTTTCGTTACTCATAATGGTCTTTACGAATTTTTAGTAATGCCTTTTGGTCTTACGAATTCTGGAGCAAGTTTTCAAAGGCTTATGGGCCATATCTTGAGAGGACTGGAGTATCGATTTGCACTTATATATATAGATGATATAATTATATTTTCTAGGTCGGTTGAAGAGCACTTAGTACATTTAGAAGAAGTATTTAAATCGTCAAGCTAATGTTAAGTTGAATCCGAAGAAATGTAGCTTTGTTAAACAAAAGGTAGAATATCTCGGTCATATTGTAACTCCTGAAGGTGTAAGTCCCAACCCAGACAAGGTTCGTGTTGTGCAGGAATTCCCCACTCCAACTAATTTAAAGGAACTTAGAAATTTATTAGGTCTCGCTAATTATTATAGGCGTTTTGTAAAGGGTTTTTCTCACATAGCCAATCCTCTAAATGCGTTGTCTAAGAAGGGTGTTTCTTTCAATTGGACTGAGGAATGTGCTGTCGCTTTCGACAAGCTGAAGCGTGCGTTAGTTTCCGCTCCTATTTTAGCCTATCCCAACTTTAAGGAGCCTTTTCTGTTGTTTGTTGATGCTAGTTCCACGGGAATCGGTTTTACCCTAGCTCAAGTTCAAAATGCAAAAGAAGTTGTAATTGCTTACAAAGGGCGCGGTTTGAATCAAGCAGAGCGTAATTATATTACAACTGAGAGGGAAGCACTTGCGTTAGTCGAAGGAATTAAGAAGTGTTTCAACCTTATCTTCAGAATCGCAAATTTACAGTTGTTACTGATCACAGCTCCTTGCGTTGGTTAATGAATGTTAAGGACGCTTCAGGTCGTTTAGCAAGATGGGCTTTACTTTTGCAGCAGTATGATTTTGAGATTGTTCATCGCCCTGGTAAGATTCATGGCAATGCAGATGGTTTATCTAGGCGTCCTTATGTGTCATGCGATTTCAATTCACTCCAAAAGGAGGATTCACAACTGGCGAAAACTCGAGAGTTGCAAAGGCGTGATCTTGACCTGAGTGAGATAATTGATTACCTAGAAAGTGATGTTTTACCATCAGACGATCGCGCAGCGCGCAAAATTTTGCTCACGAGTGACAGTTTTTATATTGTACAAAGATATTGAACATTGGTGTAAGTCTTGTACTGAATGTTCCATGAGGAAATCGCCTAGAAATTCAAAGAAAGCACCTTTACTCCCAATTCCAGTAGAAAATGCCTTTGATAGGGTAGCTGTTGATGTGTTGGGGCCCTTCCAACCTTCAAATAGAGGCAACAGGTACGTTGTCGTTTTCAGTGATTACCTTACTCGATGGTGTGAAGCATTTCCCGTTCCAAGCGCTGAAGCAACTGTAATTTTTCGTCTTTTGGTGAATGAAGTCATAGCCAGACATGGTGCACCTAGAGTTTTGCTGTCTGATAGAGGGAAAAATTTTCTGTCTAAAGTGGTAGCAGATGTTTGTAAGATCTTTCAAATTCATAAAGTAAATACTTCTAGTTATCACCCGAAGACTTATGGCCTAGTCGAAAGGTTTAACTCTACTTTGTGTCAGTCACTTTCGATGTATGTCTGAAAGAATCAAAAAGACTGGGACGATTTTATACCACTAGTTTTGTTTGCTCATAGAACATCAGTTTTAGAAGCCATCGGTGATTCTCCTTTTTACGTTCTGTATGGCCGTGAGCCTCGTTTACCTGT